ACACACACACACACACACACACACACACACACACACACACACACACACACTTTTCACCTGCTGTGACAATGCACTTATCGCCAAGCGTACCTAAATAAACCAAAATATGACTCCATTTGGTTTTCTGAACTTGAGTATGTAAAAAAAAGATTTTTTTTCTGTGTTTGAACCTGAACAATAAAACTGAACCACATTTAACATCATACATTACATACAAGACACCTCGAAAATGATTGAAACCTCAGATCAATGTAAAGTTTCCTCTACATCAGCGGTTCCCAATCTGTTTGTGCCAGACCCCACTTTGGYTTCTAAAAAAATTTCGGAACCTTCTCATTGAGAGACAGTAGCTCTACCAACTTGTGTCACCATGCTGCCTCAAACYCTAATAAATAATCTAAGTCAGAACACACTAATGTACCAACAGGTGTTGTTAAAACCTCTGACGCCTTACCTATAGAGTTGCATCGCTCCACTTGATTGACAGGCTTCTCGGGGGCGGGAAACCTGGAGTCCCGCCTGCAGTTGCGTAACTTGACAAAGAGCCCCTTGTTGGGCGGACAACGAAAGTGACGTTCACCCAGGTAACTGCCGTCTGTTCCAGCAGACAGCTCCTGGTCCTGACACACACACACACACACACACACATTAAACACACTCACAAGCAACAAATGTTTAGAACAGGAAGTGGTGGAAATGAAATGGAACTGAAAGTGTTAACAGGCTGTGGAAATATAATTTCAATGATTATAATCAGATCAAATGGACAATAGAGTTGGCGCAATGACGGTCCCATGTGGGTCGGGTGTGGCACCCCCTCAGGCCTGGATACAAGCAACAGTTAAATGCAGAACGGGGTCATACTTATGTTCTATCCTCTCGAGTTAGACCAGAGCCACCCCTCTAGATCCAGCACTGGGTCAGAGTTTGTGTTTGGGCTAATCCCACACATGTACAACCTCCATCAAGCAATGTTGTCCATAACATCTACATGGCATCATCWGTCTCTGGTGACCTGTACCCAATTTTGACTCACACTGCAGCCTCTAGCTCCCTGAATGTCCMAGCTCCTTGAAAACCAAACCCTTTGCAGACCCATCACAGGCCTACATGTGCACAAAACTCCAAACTAGACCATTCCTTGTAAATGAGTAACCATTTTTTTAAAATTTTTCCTATGGAAAAAAACAACAGAGGAAGTGAACTCAGGTTTGACGTCACACCTACAGTGCAGCCTTGGCTCTCCCCAGGCAGTTTCACAACCACTCGTACTTTTCATGTGACCCAAACATTCATGTTGGTAAACACCTCACAGGTAACAATGAGCCAAATAACTCAGAAAGGATGGGTGGTTCATTTATGACTTCAACCTTTCGGCTCGAACATCAAATGAAATGTGATGTTACAATAATGAGTGTTTACATTTATCCTTTAGGTAAATGCTCCCATAAAACACAACAGTGGACGGTTTCTCTGACTTATAAAGTGTCAAAACCCCAAAGCGGAGTGACTGTAGGGAACGTTACTGATGACATTTGTGGCCCGGCCAGCTTTGACAGAACTTGCTTGGCAAAGAATGCGGTACCCGTTTGCCAAGTGCCATTGGTTTAGTAATATGCTGATGGTAAGTAAACCAGAAGGGAGCTAACCAAACCACTACTGGGTCAAACAGCCAGAAGACGAATATCACGGATATCTGAAATCCAACCCAAAACTAGCTTCACCGTGGTCTAGATCAGAGATTCTTAACCCATGGGCCGTGGCCCAATTTGTGGACATCGAGCGCCACGTTGAGGGAGGGCCTCAAAAGAACAACAGTTTTTAACTTTGGGCCGCAGAGGGCCGCGGGACCACATTGATTTTGAACAAGGTGCAATACACGTTCTCACCACTAGTAGCAGTAGTGCACCACTCAGTTGTGTTGCGCCACTCAACTTTTTTAAAACGTAGAAGAACCTTAGAAACCTGCCGAGAATAGAAACTTATTTTAAATGAAAATTAGAAGGCAAAAATGAAAATAACTTGTCAAAAAACAAAGTTTTTCACTAATATAAAGTGCAGCTTCTGTTTTTACCAAGCAATATTTTAAAAGTTCAAAACATGATCAAATACAGTTGCAGATAAAGCTATATTTTAATTTGCACTTTAAATAAATTTTTGTAGTTTATTTAAAAAAACATTTGAATGTATTTTAAAGAAATTTTTAATTTGTCAAAAAGCTGTTGTTACTGTTATTGTTTGACACTAA